ATTAAGAATTCAGGCTAGATTTGAAAACAGAAGAGAAGATTCAATAAATTCTCGCATATAAAACAAAATCCTAAAAGGTGGGATTATTTCAATTTTGCTTGGTTGCCCAAGGACCTGCCTGGAAGAAACTTAATATATATAAATAGATTTCCGATAGATTTTCTGAATATCGTTAATAGTTTAATGAGATGGTTCAATGAGAAAAATATTAAAATAAAATAAAATGTTTTAGGTAGTTCAAGCTAACTAGTGGTTTCGTATTTAATTGCAAATAGAACTAATTAATATACCAGCCTGATTACGAAATTTCTATTCGTATTCAGTAGGTTTCAAAACTAAGTTTAGGTCTTGCATACCAGTCGAATATACCCTAGATGGCATAAGGCGACGAAGGACTGATTGTCGAATTTTCCCATAATGAGGCCATTGAATCTCATCTAGGGTGGAATGCAGTTTTGAGTTCGATTTCTGTTGGGAGTGCTGATAAGACCCAGGCGAGTCGAAACTGCAGTCCACTCTGCAATAAAATACCCTTTAGGAGGCAAGATTAAGTAAAATTCAACTGATATAATTATGGGAAAATTCTACTATCCGTCCTTTATCTGCATATGCGATCTAGAGTGAATACAATTCCTATTTATAAAATCTCTATTTAAAAATGAGCTGTATGTAAATACCCAACGTTCTAGAGCTAGCTCGAAATGCTGCTGACCAAATAAATAAAACATATGAAGTGGGAGAAATAGGAAAAGCCGGCTCTTAAAAGACATAAAAAGCTTACTTGTTTGTTTCTGCCCTTCCCCGGGTTGAGCAGCCATCATTAGTAGAGGTTTTAATTGTTCACGCCCCGCAGTGCGGTCTCCATCCGAGTAGACTGACCTTCGAGGCCATGCTCGGCTTCTGTCGACAACTCCAGGTGTAGCATAGGTGGCAGTGGTAGAATTGATGACTGAGGAAATGGAGCTGGAGTCATTTGACATAGAAATCGCTTGTGAGACCAAGGGCGACACAGAACGACCCAAAGGACTTAAAGGGGATAGCTGATTCGAGGCGGAGGCA